GTTCGGGAATTGGCATCTGCGTTCGGGTGGCAGGAATTGATTTGGACCGAGAACAGTTGGTATTGTATTTAACTTTCTCACAGTCTACTGGACAGTTTTGATCATAGACCTAGGATGACTGAGGTGCAGGTTTGGTCTGTGGATGAGGTGGTAAGCCTCGACGACCGACATCCATATTACCTCTTGCTGTGGTTGTGGATATTGCTCATGTGCCCTACTCCTATCTCCCAGCAACCATGGACATATTGAGAAATTAAACCCTGAATGCAATTAAATTTATTCAACAAAACATGATCTGGGTATGTAAAAGTGCCTTTGATTTTTTAGAACTCTTTGGCAAAAAAACGATTCTTTGAAGTCAAAAGTCTTATTATGTATTTGGGGTGTGTGGCGACTAAGTCTTTTTCCATGTACATCTGTTTTATGGCTGTCAATCCAACTGCTCTGGGAACTAAGAGTTGAACGCATAAACGTTCTTAATGAATGTTGTGTACCAGAGGCTGTGTGAGGGGGTATAGCTCAGTGGTAGAGCATTTGACTGCAGATCAAGAGGTCCCCGGTTCAAATCCGAGTGCCCCCTAGAATCTTATTTTAAAAATTAATTATACACTTTGGGTACTGGAAAATATTTTTTATTCAATCGTACATATTCGATGTGTCACTTGAGTCTAAATAAAGATATCGGAGAAAACTATGCGTTTAAAAAATACTCCTTTCAGGGACTTGTGTAAAGACTATGTTGTGTGAATTTAGCAAATAAACAGCAATGCATGCACAAATGAAGTCATTTTTTAATTGCAAATCCGTGACTGAAATATCTGGGTGTATGTATATAATTTTGTGAACTGTGTAGAGATGTAATCATTCATGCCGAACCATATGAGTGCATTGGCATTCATCGGCATTGGCATTATACCTTATTTGACATGCACGTTATGTACTTAAGCTATTACGCTCACAAAGCATCCTGTGGGGGTATAGCTCAGTGGTAGAGCATTTGACTGCAGATCAAGAGGTCCCCGGTTCAAATCCGAGTGCCCCCTCAAAGCTTTTTTAATATAACACCTCTCATTAAAAAAAAAACACTTGTGTCACGTCGGTGTATTTTTTTACTTTAAATCTTTCAATTCCTAAACCATCATCTCTCTTTTAGGTACGACTAAGATGTTTTAAAATATGCACTGTAGTCTCTTTGAATGATTTAACAATGGTGTTGAGTGGCAGCCCCGATGACGACATCAAGGATGTCAAGTGGTTATGCCGGTGTTGTAATCCTGGTCATCGATCTTGACAGAGGGGTCCCTGGATCCGGATGCTGTAAAACACCACCTGCTTTGTTACCCACCCCATGTTCCACGCCTTTAAATCCACTCCATGTTTCCTCTACAAACTACTTTGTTTTCATACTCTTTGGTTCTTTCGGTAAAGTCATGTTTTCCTCTACAGCCCATTGCCAATCCACTGTCGGATGAATGCCTCCCCACGCCATGTCGGTCATGGGTGTTATTCGGCAATACTCTAATACGCTGAATCTTGATTTTAAGCCTTCGTGACTGCAGGAATTCATATTCGTTTGGTCTTTCGGTAATGTCACGTAGATAGGTTCAAAGAAAATTACAAAAAACTATGACGTTTCGATCGCAACACAAGTGGTCGTCTTCAGGAAAAAGGAGACGACCGCTTGTGTTGCGATCGAAACGTCGTAGGTTTTTGTTATTTTCTTTGAACCTATCTACGTGACTTTACCGAAAGACCCAAAGAATGTCTAATACGCTGGTCAATGTGGTTTGGCAAAGGAAGCCCTTACGACTCTGAGCCAGTGGTAGATATTCCACATTCCTAAGCCTGGGTGGAGAACGACTTCAACACGAAGGTCCACACTCGTACGAAAGGTAATCCACTCACTGGCTATCTCACCGAGTAAGAGCTGATTGATTGAGATATGTCTCTTTGGGAGAGTGACCTGGGTCTGCTTGTGATGACAGAACAGTGCAATTACAGACCGACCATTCAGAGAGCTAATAGAGATCCAGAGAGACATTTAATTACATAGGAAGTTAAACACAATTGCCAAAGCAAGCAGAACATGACAGTAGAAAACGTATTATGACAAAGCTATCAACTTAATCCTCCCTATAAGTATTCCCACTTATGCTCTGCCTTCTTACTCCTCTTTCTAAACTCACACCAATCCTGAGCCATCATCTGTACATCCACTCCACAGTTCTTCACAACCTGGCTCACCACTTGAAGCCACTTCTGTCTGGGCCTGCCTCTCGCTCTCAGCCCCAGTGAATCCATGTTTATCGGTTTTCTTCATCCTTCGTGGGGTTCCCTCTTATTCTAAGACGTGTCACTCAAGCCATCCGATTTCGTTTCCTCTCAGCTTGTCTGAGATGGGTATCACTTTTACCTTCTTCATCTCTTGTCAATTAAAAATTTGATTTGAATCAATGTTTGATCACCAAAACTGATAAACGTTCCATAAATAAAACTAAAAAGGAAAATAAATATGTAGTAGGTGACGTTTGGGGCAATGGCTCTTATTTATAGCAGACGAAAAACAATGCAAAAATAATGCAAATATTAAATGGAGGTACCTAGCATTATATAACAGAATTTAAATTCAATATTTATTTGTGACACGATAAATCCTGTTAAGCCAGTTAGCCATCCAGTTTGCAAAGAAGATCCGTGGTGCATCAACAAAGAACAACATCCAAGTTATACTTATCGAAGGATAAGACATCAGAACAGAATTCGCAAAGAACAAAGAATAACAGGCATATTATACCAACAATCATACAAATGATTCATACTCTCTACTACTGGTGGTGGTTGGAACAGCCTTCTGGTCAGAGGGACTGCTGAGGTTGGATTTTGTTCCATTTTTCCCATGATGCTCTACAGCCTGAGTAATGGTGAGTTGTCTGCTTGCAATTCATTTGTGTTTAGTTTGTTGTCTTTCCCCCGCACCACCGATTACATAATGTAACACAATTTTAGTTCCTGTGTAGTAAGTGTTATTTCGTAATTGCTTATGCATAAAAAGTACAGAAAATGGCAAATTTTTTCCACAAACTTTGCTTTTGTGACCAGGACAGTGATCTTCTTTGGTTCTTTCGGTAAAGTCACGTAGAATGAGAATAAAATAATAAATTGATAAAATAAAGTAACACAATAAAATTCTCACGACGTTTCGGCCACAACACAAGCAGCCTCATCAGGTGAAGGGACGAGACTGTCTGGAGGACAGCGCTGGAGCCTTTGGACTTTATCGAAAGAACCAAAGAAGATGAATCCTTGCAGTCACGAAAGCTTTAAATCAAAATTCAGGACAGTGATATTTTGAAATACACCTATTTCAATGCAGAAACGGGCGAATTTGTGTCTTTTCGTTCACATAAAGTCAGAAAAAAATAACATATGAATCAAAATTAACATGTATTTATACTAAATTAATAAAAAATGACTACAAAAGATTTTGTGGAATTTATTGCACTCCAGGATCTTCTTTATCTGTGATCCAATGAAGACAACGGCTTTGACCTTTGCCTCAGACAGCTTAGGGAAGAAGTCTTGAATGTACTTGAAGGCTGCCAACTTCTTATCTACAGCTCTGACAAATTGTTTCATGAGGCCCAATTTGATGTGCAGTGGTGGCATCAGCATTTTCCGGGGGTCCACCAGTGGCTCCCACTAGACTTTGTTCCTCCCCACAGAGAACTCGGTCCGCTGTGGCCAGTCCCACCTGTGGTAGTGCGACTTGGTGTCGCTGCTGTTCCAAAGGCAAAGATAGCAGGGAAATTTGGTAAAACTGCCTTGGAGAGCCATCAGGAATGCCACCATTGTGAAGTCTCCGATGACCTTCCAGCTGTACTCATCATACTTCAAGGCGTCCAGCAAGGTGAAAAACATAGCAAGGAAATTTGCTGTGTTTTTCACACCTGATGATGATTGCTTGTATTGCAGTCGAAACGTCGTGAGAATTGTATTGTTTTATATTTTTATTATTTTATTGTTTCCCTTCTACGTGACTTTACCGAAAGAACCAAGAATATAGGTGTTAAGATATTCAAACGCCAAATAGATACCTTTTGCAAGGCATCAACTCTGCATTAACCACACACGTACTTGTGGCAAAACATGCAAACAAAACATGTTCTAATAATTAATATATGCATTGTCTTTGAAACTTTCTTCGAAGAAAGCTGTCTGGTGTTGACCAATCAATGCATATATTCTAGATTTAAACCTTTCGTGACTGCTAGGATCCATACTCTTTGGTTCTATTGGGTAAAGTTCACTCCAGCGCTGTCCTCCAGACAGTCTCGTCCCTTCACCTGTTGAAGGCCGCTTGTGTTGTGGCCGAAACGTCGTGATTTTGTTATTTTATTTTTTACCTACGTGACTTTACCCAATAGAACCAAAGAGTAACAATGCATATATTATCAGGGCATGTGTTTTGTTTACATGTTCACCCCAAGTACGTGGTTAATGCAGACAGGATTCCTTGAAAAGGGATTCTGTTTGGTGTTTCAACATCTTAGCACGACTGTTTTATTGCCAGAAATGGTCAAACTTATTGTTATATTTTGATACTGGCAAGTAAAATATTGCCACTATGCTAACGAGTGCATAAATCAGGAAACATTAGCATAATGAGCTGTCTCACTTCGCAAATGTCGGCATTGCCACTATGCTAATGAGTGCATAAATCAGCCCACATTAACATAATGAGCTGTCACACGTCGCCAATGTCGACATTGCCACTATGCTAATGAGCGCATAAATCAGGATACATTAGCATAATAAACCGTTTCTCTTCGCCAATGTCGGTATACCATTATGCTAATGAGTGCATAGATCAGCAAAATATTAGCATAATGAGCTGTCTCACTTCGGGCGCCTCCCCGATTGGCTAGAGAGTGCGCGCGCTGGGCTCCGTCGCTCGCTCGCCTTCCCATTGGACGGCGATCGCAGCGCCGCGCGCTCACCGGCCAATGGCGCGCGTCGTCAACGCCCCCCGCGATCGCCATCGTGCGCTCCGGGCGATTTGCAAGGCGACGTTGGACGCAATGGAGGCAGCGGTGCGCTCGTTCCTCCGCCTCGGCGGCGCCGTCGCCGTCGCCCTTCTCGCGGCGATGAGCGTCGCGGCAGCCGTGGACCAGGTCCCCGTGCTGCTGTGGACCTCGGACGCGTGAGTTGGCGCCCGCCCGCGATAGATGCGCATGGGGCCCGGTCGGACTCGCGTCGCTAGGGGGCAAACGCCATTGCGGTCCGGGGGAATCAAGAAACTAAAACCCCACGCCTAGGGCCCCCCACCCGCCGCCCAAACGCACCGCTCGCCAATAATATTAACATCGAATAATGGAATATTGACAACAATTAATGCGGCAGTCTGGTGGATAACGGAGGTGGTTGTGGGTGCGTCTCACAAAGCATTGTGCTAAACCCATTGACTCGTGAGACGTCTCTGAAGCTCAGCGGGGTCGAGCCTGGCCAGCGCCTCAAGATGGGCGAGCCATCGCCGTGCGCCAGGAGGCGTCTTGCCCAGTCAAGTCTGGCCACACGATCCCCCCTCAGGGCGGCCGAGCGGCCCATCGACGGACCGCCCGGTCCGTGCGGTGGTCACTGCATCCGCCACGACAGTCGACACTGCGGCACGCGGCGCAGCAGTAGAATGTTGCGTGAATGGGCCTGGTGATAGGCAGCAAGAGGGGGACGCAGCAGCATTCACCGTTGTTGTACCAGCCCGCCTGGTGGTTGACGAGGTTGTGCGTGTTCGACGATGCACGAGTTGCGGGAGCGAGCGGAAGGAAGGAAGGAAGCGATGGCGCGCAACCCCCGTTTCGCATTTCCCCCCCAAGGACTGCGCTGCCGTCCCATCTGTGCGTGGGCGACAATTAATGATGCCACCCCACCTGCTTGCAGTGCAACAATATCAATTCCAACGTTAATCGTAATGTAACGGTGATAACATTACGCCGATGCGTATTTTCGGCACAGACTCGCTTTACTGACAACAGACGTGGAGGGGGGGGGGGGGGGGGGCTCTAATTGGCGATCAAATTGAGCACCGTCTGCCTTGTAGTAGTAACCCACCAGCCCAGGAATAGGCGGTAAATAATGTAGCAGTCGAGAAAGTCCCAGTTGCTCAGGTTAGTGCACTGAGCTGGCACCGCAAGAGATCCTGGTTCCCATCCAGGCATTTGATTTAATCGGGTCCTCGAGTTGTTGGGAGTCAAGTTGGGTTTGCATTCAATGTAGCTTTATTCCAGTTCTGGGAGTATAAAATATATCGTGTTGACGGTCATGCAAGGTGCTGCCCCCACCCCCTTCCCTCTAGATCAGGGGTCACCAAACTTTTTTCACAGCGGGCCGGATAACTGATAGAATGACGAGCGCGGGCCGCAAAATCATTCTGTTCAATGCTTGGGGGCGGGAAAGATGTGTGTTTGTGTGTGTTGCCATGTAAACCATGGTAACGTCAGAGCTTAGGCGGAGCTACCACGAGCCGGGGAAGTACTTGGGATGGCGCGAAATAAGCAAACATTACAATAAACAAGAAAATCTAGATACAATAATTTAAAATTTAAAATAGTAAATTTAAGGCACATCGCAGCAAGGAGGTCTCCGCACGCGTGAAGATCTCCTGGTATTCTAAACATAATATTTAAATTGTATCACAACGTCTCGTGTTTCATACGTTTTATCAACCAAATTCAAGTACCGTCGGCGGGCCTGATGGACTGACGCCGCGGGCCCGATACGGCCCGTGGGCCGTAGTTTGGTGACCCCTGCCCTAGATTGTGGCACAAAGATCCCTGGAAAGGCTCTCGGAGATAGCTCCAATATACACTTCTGCTGTCCCTTCTTCACGGTGCTGCTGTGCACTATGAGGGTAACTTGGTATGACAGCTCATGCGGAACAAGATTGGGGAGGTGGGGGGCACGGTACTGTATTTTGAAAAAAATATTCGCCTGTAATGTAATATAAAACGATGCTCGACTGACAATTGTTATGGCCGTGCACGGACGCTAGGAGTCACTCGACTACCAAGACTGCAGTTCATGCTTCTTTAATGCCGTAGTCAAAGCAAACGCCAAGAAACAAAGGACAAAACTACAGCCACTGCACTGCTTTAGTAAAAAAAAAATAGTAATATCTTCTCCAAATCAATAATTGCGCCACAATTTTACCGCCGCTGAATTCTCTCCTCTCTCCCTGCTGCTGCTGCCAGCTCCCTGTGGGGTCCGGCGACATCCCCTCACTCGGGTCACATCGTGACGGCAAAGGAGCTGCACGGGTACCTGAAGCCAGCCCTGCAGATGCCCGACAAAAACCTGGTGCTCTTTCTTCAGGACAAAGTGAGCTGCGTTATTACTGTGTTGTTACATGGTGGCGGGGTGGGGGGGGGAGGTGGCTGCTCCATCATTAGGGGGCCGGTGGGGCCCTGAAAGGAGAAAATGAAAAGAACATTGCTTACTGACCTGCACGTGCGCTTGCCAGTTGCTATACTTAGAAATGGGATTCATACCCCCCCCCATTCCTCCCCCACCCTTCCTGCCCCCCTTTCCCCCCCACTCCTCCCACCTCGTCGGGCTTCCATGCCCCACGAATCTATTTACTCATTGGCCAGCACTGAGCAACGGTTATCAACTCCCAACTGTTCCCTCTGCTACCAAACTCTGTGTAAATAATTCACGAACACTCTGACCTATGATAGATAATTAAATAGCTAATACATAGTGCATGATCCTTCCTTCAGCGTAGTCCCTCTGTAAGCTTGCTCGGGTTCGAGTTAGTGGGGGGTGTGGGGCGGGGTTGGGTGAACGGGAACATTTGCTTTCAACTCGTGTCATGTGATGGTTGCATGTTTTTTTATACCAGGAAATCACGAGACATGAGCCAGCTCCGTGACACTGACGACTTCCTCTTATTGAAACAAAATATATATTATCGTCACAGCTGCCAGGGCATCACTAAATGAGTCATGGATGGGTGAGACTGCCGACAGCTGATTCCACAGTCGGTGAAGTCCCGATTATCTTAATTTAGTATAATCGCTGGGATGGGCCAACATTCTATCTGGCTCCTGCACGAGCTGATTGCATCGCACCATATCTGTGTGGTGGACGTCTTCTTGGGTGCGTTCTCTCCTTTGACTTCCGCTCCGTTATTTTCCTAAACAAATGGCCATCTTCCCTTCTAGCGACCTGTCTTGCCCAAGCCCATTTACTCTTCTTAACAGAAATTTTGATGTCTCAAAATTGTGTATGGTCTCTAATACATGTGTTCCTCTTCCTGTCTCGCAGTATAATTTCAAGCATGGATCTCCTGGTGCCTCATTGTGCACTATTCCGCTTTCATTTCATATTCATTGCCAGTGTGTATGTTTCTAGTCCATCCTCTACTTGTGACCCCTAACCCCGGCCTCCTGTCACAGGGTTGCTTATCTCTCTCTTGTTTACCGGTTTTAATCTCCCTAAACTTTATATCTTGTCTACAGCTCTCTTTCTTGTAGCTCTGTCATCTCAGTGGTCTCCTGATCTCTTGGTAGGCCACTCCAAGTGGCCCATAGGCTACCAATCACAGAACCCTGACATACAACATATACTCTTTGGTTCTATTCGGTAAAGTCACGTAAAAGTATAAAACAACAAAAATAAAATAAAAAAATTCATGACGTTTCGGCCACAACACAAGTGGCCTTCATAAGGTGAAGGGACCAGACTGTCTCGAGGACAGCGCTGGAGTGAACACAGCCAAGCTCAGGCCGCGACCTTTAAGCTGTATGAGAGGAAACAAGGCGCCTTGACAAAGGAAATAGCATAAAAATTAGTATTTAATATATCTCTCAGGTCGATGTAGCCCTCAAAGGCGTAGGACACATCCAAGCAGACGTTGCGAGAGCTGAAATAGCCACTATTTTTGAATGCTAAGAAACCCATTAGCAACATCAGCAAAAATGAACGCTCTGAACTCGCGAATTTAAAAAACAGAAGTGACATAGTCATCCTCTCAGCCGATAAAGGCAACGCTACTGTAATTATGGATAAAGATTCATACAACAACAAAATCCAGAATCTGCTCAACGATGGAAGTTACTCAAAAATTAAAAATGACCCTACCAATAGCCTAGCGATAAAAACCAACAAGATCATCACAAGTTCCACCTCCCTAATCGACCCAACTAAACGTCCCTCCCTAAAACCTTCTGCTGCAAGACCCCCTAGATTCTATGGTCTTCCCAAGATTCATAAAGAAGGCACCCCACTACGACCCATCGTATCCACGATTAACTCCCCTACCTATAGACTAGCCCATTTTCTGTCAGATACCTTGCTGCCTTTCACTGGCAAGACCGCCTCAGCAGTACTTAACTCAGCCCAATTGGTCTCTATGGTCAAAGACGTTGTACTGTCCCCTGACGATATCCTTGTCAGCTTCGATGTGGTCTCTTTGTTCACCAAGGTCCCAGTACCTCATATCATTGCAATAATTGAAAATTTGGTCCAACATGGACTAGACCCCGATACACCTGCACTGGTTAGGCACTGCCTCAACAATACCTACTTTACTTGGAATGGCTCCTTCTACAAACAAAATGAGGGTACCCCCATGGGATCCCCCTTGTCACCAGTGATAGCCAATATTTTCATGGAGAAATTTGAATCGGACGCCATCCAGACTTCCACCCTCAGACCTTCCCTGTGGAAGAGATATGTAGACGACACTTTCGTCATTTGGCCACATGGCCTCCCAGCTTTGAACCTTTTCCTAGATCACATTAATTCCAGACACCCTGCCATCAAATTCACCATGGAAGTGGAGAAAGATGGCAAGCTGCCATTCTTGGATGTTCTGTTTGAGAGGAGACCTGATGGCTCATTGGGACATTCTGTCTACAGGAAACCCACCCACACAGATTTCTACTTGAAACCTGATTCCCACCACCACCCGACGCAAAAGAATTATCTCATCAAAACGTTATACCACAGGGCTCATTGCATTTCGGACCAACACCACCTGACCAGTGAATTAAAACATGTGCATCTGGCCCTCAAAAGGAATGGATATTCTGACCGTACCATCCGCTAAGCTGTTTCTCCCTCCATACAAAAACAACCACTTGATACTCCGATCAAAACCATCACACTGCCATATATAGCAGGTGTTACTAAAAAGATCTCTAAAATTCTAAACAAACACAAGATCCTGGTCCGGTTCAATACAGTACACAAAATCCGTGAACTTATCCCTTCCGTGAAGGATGTCATTCCTGACTTACAGTACCCCGGAGTTTACAGATTGATCTGCACCTGTGGTGACTGCTATATCGGGGAGACGAAACAACATGTCTCTGACCGAATTCGCGAGCACAAATCAGATTTGAAACACGGCAGAACGAATTCTTCTACCGTAGCTGATCACTGCTACAACGCTGTGGGTGATCACGATATAATTTTCTCCGATACCAAGGTTCTTTGCAAACCCACGGGTTTTTAACAGAGATTTGTTCACGAGGCAATTCAGATTTACAGACACAATTTCAACCGAGAAGATGGTTTCAAATTAAGCAACTATTGGAAAGATGTTCTAAATCGAACCAAACATGAAACTAATTTTCAATGGTACAGTATATTTTTTCAAGTAATGGTATCCCAAACTTTCGCAGCTGCTTAAATTCCCTTTTCACACCATCAATAGGTAAACTCCCCCTCCCCCCCTCGCCGGTCTGCACATGTTTCCCCCTCTCTACACCGTTCATCATGCTAAGTCTGCCAATTAAATGCAAATTTTTATGCTAATTCCTTTGTCAAGGCGCCTTGTTTCCTCTCACAGGTTAAAGGTCGCGGTCTGAGCTTGGCTGTGTTCACTCCAGCGCTGTCCTCGAGACAGTCTGGTCCCTTCACCTGATGAATGCCACTTGTGTTGTGGCCAAACGTCGTACATTTTTTATTTTTGTTGTTTTATACTTTTACTTGACTTTACTGAATAGAACCAAAGAGTATGGATCCTTGCAGTCACGAAAGCTTCAAATCTAGAATACAACATATAAATTAATCGATCGTGATCAGTATTCATCGGCATATCATTGCACCCCTACCACCTTGACAACTACATGATGAGAGCTGTTTGTGGTCTTGTGTGTACCTTGAAGGCCATTGGAGTACTATAATTATATTGACACATTCTATGTGACTGGTAGCTTAGCGCTTTCTTTACTGCCTGGCACACGTCTGCCTTCGTTGAACAGAAAGAATGTGCCTTTTAAAGTCTTTAGCTCACGGGGCATTTTAATGGCGCTTTTTAGAGTGTAAGCCTCTTAGAGACAGACATGCTAATGCATGTCAGAACACGCACGAGAGTTTATTTTTATGGACTTAGACCGTTGGATTCAAATGCACGTGATCCATCTGGATTAAGATAGGCCTGACGTCCAATTTTAGTTCCAAAGATAAATTTATCCCCATGAACAATGGCGTATCAGACACAGACTTATTTAACGCTCCTTTTACGTTAATTTACACGCCGCTGCCAAATATGAAATGTGTTTATGTATACTTGCCAAATGTTTGATTATCATTTAAATAGCCATAAGTCTTGTGTAATTATGTAGTCTGGTGGAACGTGTCGGGGCCACTGAGCTCTCAGCGTTGATTAAACCGCGGTGATGTCTCATTAAATTTGTGTTTTTTATTTGGTTTATTTCAGCTGTGAATTAAACATTTTTTGCTTTGATTGATAAGCGATGAACGCTTTGAAGGGCACTTAAAATTATTGTCCGCCTAGTTTAGACAAAGAGGCGCTTAGCATTGTAGAAACTTCAGAAGTTGTTCGGTGACATCTCACAGGGCGGTTTGAAAATAGTGTGCTGTACTGCTGCGAGAGTTCACAATGGAAACGCCTTAGTCTCATAATCATCAACCATAATCCACTGCTGGTCTTACGATGTGATAATCCACCTCGCACTCTCACGTGATGGGTTGTCTTCACTCCATCTTTGCTGTGAACATCTCCTCCTTGGCCAACGTGCCGTATATATTTGTTTTTCAGCTGAGCGTTGATGACTTCACGCACTATGGGAGAGCCGACGGAGATAATGCATTTTCCAACATTCAGGTAAATATTTCAGTTACAAAATAAAATATAAATGTTACCTTTACGCTGTAAAAACAAACTTAAAGTATATTTTCTAAGGCTGTGAAGCAGAACGCATGTTTCAAACACTGCATTTTGTCTTTTTATAAAGGACAATTGCTTCATAACTTATTCTGTATATCTACAAATTAGTTTTGTGATATTTTGAATTGAGATCCATCTTGGCATTTTTAAGGTGTTGATGATGGTGATGCAGTGATATTTTTAGCCCTTTCTCAGTTCCTTGTTGGACAAATGGCTGCCCACTCCGTGTCAGCAATGGGGGGGGAGTTTGACCCAATGTTGCACCACGCCGATCAGTCCTGGTTGGTGAAGTGAGGTGGTCGGGGGGTGAGACCTGGGATGGGGGGGGTCACGCGTTACATACTGCTGGCGCGTCTGTGCCGCAGAGAGCTCTGGCATCGGCTCCGTCCTCCCTGGTGCTTCCGTCAGTCGACTGGCGCTCGGCCGGGGACCTTCCGGCGTTCTTACGTGACCGGCTCGCGGCCGGACGCAGTGTCCGGGAGCTGAGACTGGGGCGCTCGCCTTCGCAGGAGCCCATCTTGGACCCCACGCGGCCCAACTTGCTGCTCGTCAACCTGCCTCGCACACGCAGGTGCAGCCCGTCCCCGCCCTGCACTGTTGGGCCGAATTTGTCCGTTTCAGTCAGGGCCCGGGTTTCCCTAATGTGTGGTCATGATCGCTTCTTTGAGTATTTTTTGGTTTTGTTATTCATACCCAGAGTTTGCGAGTAAAAACAAATTTCACTAGAATTACGTAATTGGGTAAACCACATAGCAACGTCTCTCCTTAATGGTAGATTGTACCCGTCTGTGAAACATAACGCCTTTCGTGTTTGCCTTGATCTATAAGAACAGTGCAAATGCCAAATGTACAAAATTACGTCTCGTACTTGTATGGCTGTCATGCGATGAACATTACTCAGACAGAGCAAATGAGAAAGTGGTGCCCTCTGCTGCATGGACCGGAGGCCACTTGAAGGGATCTCATAGGTAGCTCTGTGATATCCACTTCAGTGGGCTGTTCTCTAAAACAAATGGTGCAATGTTTTGCAATGGTTCTAAATGGAGTATTTGTTTCACAACGCAACTATAGTACAATCGGAATACATTTGGGGGGAAAGACATCCGTGGTGATCTTAGGAGTTTCAAGCTGCAGTGGATGATGGTTTGTTCCCTTTGCTTAACCAGCCCTGACGTGGCGTCGCCCAAAGAAGCCTTGGAGAGAAACGGTACGTAAAATGTATACATTTAACAAATATCTGTAATCATCACTCTCTGTGTCTCTAAATCCGCTCAAGCCTCTTGTAAGCCAAGTGACTTCTGTGTGGCCAATCCCTCTCTGAATCCCTCCGCTCTCCCCGCTGCTCCCTGTGAAAATAGACACTCCTCTGTGCAGCTCACTTCTGCTCGCTCCTTCCCTCTCACTCCCTGTTTTCCCTCCCCTCTTATCATCACCCTGTCATCATCCCCGACATCTTGGCCTGGTCAGTCCTTCTCCCCCTCCTCCCCTTCCTGCCCAGCGCTCCTTCCTGCTGCCCATCTTGAGCCATGCCTTCCTTGTCTTGGAGACTTTCGTCCCAACATCCCTTTCCTTTGCTATTCGCTCTGTTTCCATACATTTTATCCTTGACTTTACTCCCCTTCCCATGGTGAATCACAAGTAAAAATGTTTTATCATCAGACATCATTTAGCCACTCTGCGTCGAAAGCCTGCCCACTCTGTCTCCATCTCTTTCAATGACACAGTCTGTCTTGTTCGTGTAGAGGAGCTAATGTCATCTATTGATCCCTGTGGTGGTTGTTCTCTCCTTGGCTGCGATTGTATCACGATTGTATCATCAGCCATCATCCTTTCCAGTGATGTGTCCTGCTTCAGCCCACTTACGTGTCTGTACGGTCTATATAGCGTGTACTATTTGCATTTGTTAGCTGATCTGTACATTCTAAGTGTAATTCTCCACGCTTCTCTGCACACTTGTCAGCTCTCGGTTTGTTTGGGGCACACGTTAACCTTTACGTCTCCTCCCTCTGCAGATGAAATCATCAGAGAAGTCACCGAGCAACTGAACAAGAGCGGATTTCCCTTTACTGCAATTTACACAGCATCAAGGCCTTCCCGGGTGAGTGACCATCTCGCAAAACGTCGCCCGTTAGACCGTAGTTCCCGCATATAACTCGCATTGCATGTGCCCTGCCACGGTTCACCTTGCCTTGTCTTACCAACCTTTGTTAACGCAGTTGCTGCACTGCGTATTTGGGTGTTGGGAGCGAACCAAATCTCAGTGAACCACCAACCCTTGCCTCGAAACTAAAGCCCGTTATTGCAGAGGGTCTGATTCGTAACACCTCTAACGTAGCTCCGCTCACGCGCAGGTCATCCGCGAGATTTACCAGGCCGCTGCTGGCACCGGCAGGAAGCTGATGCAGGCGGCATCGTCGGCCTCATCGGCGCTGTCACCGGCGGCGGTGGCCCTGTACCCGCCGGTGACGTTCAAGAACAAGACGAGCGACTGCATATTCATGTGGGCATCGCGCGTCATGCTGCGCATCGGCCAGGTCAGCTACGACGCCACGGAGGCCACGTTTAATGGGCAGGTGGACACGAGTGCCTCGAGCTGCTCTCCCGACAACGCCACGTGAGTCACCTCAAACAGCAACAAAAACTAAAAAACCACACAAGGCATTTGTTACACTTTCAAAACGCGCGTATGTCATCGTTAGTCAGTTTAACACTTAGGCTTTCGCGACAAATATTCATAATAAAGGTTTTTGGGTTAGATCACGTAAGTATAAATGTGTAGTAACCTTCCAACACCCGAAAGAGCCATTAAAGTTTGTCACGTAATCAACGTGCCAATTAGTGACTACTTCAGCCCACCGGTGTGTTGGAGAGTAAATCCACAACATTTACAATTTGAGTAGTACGACGTTTCGCTGGTAATTACATCCAGCAGCATCGGCCGATTTGCCAGAATAGTGAAGCAATCCACCTGCTTCCGGTCTTAAATACATCAACAAAAAATGTTCACACTGGGTAATCTTTACAAGAGTTATCGTGCCCCCCTGTTGGCGGCAGAAGGATGAAGAGAATGCATGAACACCTTTAATCTTTGTTGATGATAATAAAATGCCATGTGAGTGTCTCAGAGGTCAGAGTGATGAGCTGGCACTGCTGAGATCCTGGGTTCAAGTGTAATTCAGCCAAGTTAAATTTGGTTCTGCACTTAATTTGTATAGATTGCAGTCCTTTCTCCAATGTGACGAACCGTGGTAGGGCAGGTGGGAAAGTAATGCACCTAATGTAGGGACCAGTGGTCACTTGTGGGGCTCTTAGAGGTAGCTCTGTGGTATCCACTTCTGTGGGCCGTCCACTTACACGAAGGGTCACCCTGCGCTGTGAGAGTTATAAAAGGATGACGTGACGCCTAGCACTATCGGGATTAAACTGGGGGAAATGGACAAATACTCACAAATGCCAATCAATTCACTTGTGCATGACAAAATGACAAAGGACCTTGATAAAAAAACGCCTTCTGTCGCTTTAACGCTGCCACACAAGAGGACCCACGCTGACAAGTTTTTATGCGGTCATTCTTTTCTTTCAGGCTGTCTTTGCAGTTCTCCAAGAGCAGGACCCCCACTCTGCCGGTCCAGAGATTAACCATCAGGTGGGCACTCATGCTGGCATGGAGCTGTTGCAACTGTTATTGAAAAAAAAAAGGTCTGCACGATAGTCAAATGGATGCTCCTTCTCACGATGTGATAGAGCAGTCGGGATAAACTGGGAGGAAAATCCCCAAGACATTTAAATTAAAAGGAAAAATATATTTTATGCCGTAGTTTCTGTCATACTCGCTATCGTTGCCGTGTTGTCTTAAGTCAAAAAAAGTTTAATTTGGAACTCCTTTCAGCGAGCGGCGCACCGTATTGTGTAACCCATGTGCATGTAAAAAAAGGAGCCAGCTGGACTTGGCACAACCGCCCTTGAACAGCGTCGTCGTTCCTGCCGCAGGTTCTCCATGTCCAACCGCCTGTACCCGGTGTCGGCCGAGCGCTGGTTCACGCTCGACAAGGTGGCGGTCGCCTACGCCAACAGCAGCGCCGGTGCCGCCGGCGCCGAGTTCAACGTCAGCTCCGTGTACGCGCCGGCGATATATTCGTACCGCTGCCAGGTCGTGAGCACCAGCCCCGACTCGGGCGCCCGCCTCGTGCCCGTGTCACCGATCTCCGCGCACGTTCACGTGTCCCTCAAGGACTTCCAGGTGAGAGGTGTTTCCAGCGATGCTGCGTCGTCCGGCAGTGGTTGCGACGTCGGAAGGTGACGACGACGTAGTTGGGAGAGTAGGGAGAGGCGAGCGATGGAACTGATAAATCGGCAGAGCAATCTTTTGTATGGCTGATGTAGATGCAGAGCAGCAACTACAATTTCACATCCAGGTGGTCAAGCCAGAGTGTGAAATTGTAGATGTTGCTCTGCATCTACATCGGCCGTACGAAAGAAGAAGATTAATCTACCGATCGATTACCTCAATAATCTCAACTTTACTCATTGTTTTTTTCGGTAAAGTCACGTATGTAGAAATACAATAAAATTATATTAAAACAAAAAAACAATCACGACGTTTTGATCACAACACAAGCGATCTTCATCAGGTGTCAAGAACAAATCACGGAGGTAAATACAACAAAAAGATGAGAGACGAGAATTCAACAAACCTGAAAAAACATTATGTGAAGCACATCCAGTCAGGCCAACAACACAGTTAGACACTTCCTGGCGGACCACGAATTTCAGAAGAGTGTTAAAATTCGTGTTCAACCTTTGGATTGCACATACCAGCATAGATAGAATGAAAAATACGAGGTACACGGTCAGTAGAAATACATATACAAGTCCACCAAGAGGTAAGGAGGGAGGAAAGACGGACAGGGAGGCAGAGAGAGAGGGGGGGGGGATGAACAGAAGCTTAAATAGTAAATACGGTTGGAGGGGGGGAGGGGCCAGAGCGTGATTTGTTCTTGACACCTGATGAAGATAGCTTGCGTTGTGATCGAAACGTCGTGATTGTTTTTTGTTTTAATGTAATTTTATTGTATTTCTACATACGTGACTTTACCGAAAAAAACCAATGAGTAATTTTATGCAGTCACGAAAGCTTTAATACTTTATAATCTCAACTTTGCTTGACCTCCCTTCTCTGACACCCAACCCTTAACCCCGAACCCCCCCCCCAGATCCAGGCCTTTAACGTGCGCGACGGGAAGTTCGCGTACGCGAGCGACTGCGCCTCCTTCTTCACGCCAGCCGTGTGGATGGGTCTGGTGGTCGGCTTCATCCTGCTGCTGGTGCTCACCTACGGCGTGCACATGGTGCTGCAGCTCAAGACCATGGACCGCTTCGACGACCCCAAGGGGCCCACCATCTCTGTGCCACAGACCGACTGAACGAGGAAGACACGAGACATCGGCAGCAGTAGGGGCTTCCCCCTTCCTTCTTCTCCGTTTCCTCTTATTTCCTCCTCTTCACCGCACCCTCTTTGTTTAAAGCAGAGGTGGGGAATCTATAGTTGGAAATGTTCTGTAAAGCTTACAAGGTTTAAACAAAGCATCTTCGCGATAGCCTTTCTGCTATGAGAATTGCGCAAATACTAAGTTTTCCTGACGGAGAGCTAAATTTGATGTTCAATAGCTCTGGCTGGCCACATCCTAACACACAGAAATGTCTGAGCACGCCAAAGTTGCTTGGTAGGTGTCATGTGGCCGTGGCGTCAAGCGAAATTAAGTCGCCGGCCCTAGGTTTCCCACCTCTGGCTCGTCGGCTTGTCAGCTTTCAGTGAGCTCCGTGTCGTGCCGTTGGGGCGTGGTGCAGGTTTTTCTGACTGCGCCGGATCCTCGTTCCCATGATGCGCGCTAGAGAATTGGTTACGTTAGTCACGTGCAATGTTGTTACCTTCTCTCTACAGTCACACGCCGCCACCGCCAGGCTTTATTTTTTATTTCCCGCTTGCGAAGGTCGTAGCGGGGCAGCTCTGCCCGTGAGACGTGAGGGTTCCAATTTGCGTCATCCATTCCTTTTGTAAATGTACGTGAATTCTGACTGTACATCCCATCTGGTTTTAAAAGGTATACACAACCCAAAAACCAGGTCGCTTTAATTCCCTGTTTGTACATAACCTCGGCCTACGTGTCCAGGGTCATCCGATAGAATGTGGAGTTTAAAGTCCACTCACGTTATAGTGAAGCACGCTTGCCATAGCGCACCAGTGACGTCGCTATTTCACCACCTGGCTGCGGTCTTCCCACCTGTCTGGTTCCTCAGTAATAGTGAGATGCGATTTGCATGAACGACCACACTACAAAACCACACTGTTATTTTTTATTTACATCGTGATACTGACGTATGAAACGCGTGGCAGAAATGTAACTCGTGCACTGCTGTAATGACGCACTTGACAGTGATGTTAAAGTATTTTTTTTCTGTTTACAAAACTTAAGACATGTTGGACAGTCTGGGTGTGTTTCTGAAAAAAGTGCTTAAAGGTACCTGGTATAGCATAGATTGGCTGCTAACATGTATTTATTTCAATTGTTATTTATTGTTATAATGGGGTCGTTTTCTGGCGTTATTTTGTACGGCACTTGAAATGCGACAGACCGAGTTGAGAACTGTGTACGAGTCTGGCGTCTGGGGTCACCAGATGGATTCTGTTTGACAATTTTGCATGAGCGTGTACCGTTGGACAATGGTCGGTGATGTCTGCAACAGTTTGCACATCAACGCGATCGCAGCTCGACTCCCATAGATTAGGCTCACACAGAGACCCACAAACTCGGGAGTTCCATACACTCGCGTTAGACCTATTCATTCAGCATTCTGCATAATCGCCAAGCCATGCTGTAGCATCCTCAGTGGCCACGTGTGGATCTCTTGGAGACCTCCGCTGAACTTAGTCACAGCTGCTATTTGGCTTATTGTAAAGATCTCAGTGGTGGAAGTTGGCTGTGCAGAGTCCTTGGCCTATGTGGAACCTGTTCAGCAAGGCCCACTGACCGCGTGGCAGATTAAAGCCAGCTGGACAGACTGACTCATACAGGGACCCACACTACTAGAATTCACTTTGCGCCAGTCACAATTGGGCCATGATTCCACGATTCCGCACTCGCGGAGGAAGAAGGCAGTTGTAGCTGCCGCAGTGCTGTCGCGACACGCGGGACCCAGGTGGCTTCTTTGTTGGATCGACAGTAATTGTCTCATTAGGGACATTGCAGCCTTTGCCACGTATCCATAACAGCCGTTTACAATTTAGTGTTGTTTCCTGTACACCTTATTATTGCACACTCCGTGGTCGGTGCTGTGGGTGTACCTGTTTAGTGGTGTAATGCATGTCACATTTCAGCAACGGTGTGCTATGCCAAAAGCACCGGTTGCCCTGTGTTTATTTTTTAAACCCCATCCTCGTTCCTGTTGGGTGTGCGCCAAGCAAGGACAGACCCGGCGAGGGGAACTCACGCTAGGGCCCCCCTTACCCCCCCTGTGCACACTGCAGTCCAACGGTGCGACGTGCGATGTACAGGCCCAACTCGGAGGTAGCAAATGGAATGGATTCGTTCCCAGGCAAATTAATGGACACTGAGAGGCTGAAGACGGATGCAGAGTTTGTTTTGCAATCAATTGCCCGGGCCCCGCCGTGGTCGTAACACCTTTTCACTTTTACCAATTTTCACCTCCATTAAAAGGCAGAATAGGTGGTTACGTAAAACTCGTGACCTGACGATTTCCGACTGTGCCCCACGTGACGTAGACCTTGTGTGTGCACGTACGATGGAGAGAGTGCCGATTCATTTGAATGTATAGAATAACGGTGGATCACACCAGATCTCTTATCTCAGTTTAATTTGGTACTCCTGCATCATTTTGGACACGCGGCCACCCCCCACACACGTGCAAAGACCGCCATCTTAATTTGAATCGGTCCTGTGTGTCACACGTGCGACACGTGTACACACACGAGGTCTATTTTCAGGGGAAACAGTTCTGGGTTGAGCAGTCATCGGGCACGTGGAAATGACAATTGCATGTGAACAGAGGTAAATTATGTGAAGGGGGCAGGAGCAGTGGTTGGTGCACTGCACTGCTAACCTATGGGCCTAAATATGATTCCTGGCCACGGCTCGCAATGAGTGGCGAGTGATACCTGAACTGGTCCTGGGTCCACCCCACTCCACTGACCGGTGTAGTTAAGTACAACGTGGTCAAACAACACCCATGTTCCGCACATTGTGGTGAGACCTTCACCCAGCCTTGGGTTGTGATACACTCCTGAAGACGGATTGAGTCGTGAGGATTAGAGATGGAGAAACTCTGTTGTTAAGAAGTTTATTATTATTTACGTAATAGAACGGAACGTGTCGGAGTGGGAGCTGTGAAGCGTTACCCAGCAAGATCAGGAACGTTGGCGGTGGCTTGGGGAGGACTTCATCCAGCAGTGGATTGACCACGCTCGATAATAACAACACAGCCTTATCAATCCACTTGTCGCAGGTTATTACCACGAGTCACACTCGTGCTGACTCTTCCCCTCCACGTGTCTGTCCTTGTGTTATGTCACGATGCATTCCCCGTCGTTATCGCTATTCCAACAAGACTTGTGTGCATGTACAAATGATTGCTGCCGTTCCTCTGTCTTTGTACGTCGCTGGCGCCGTGTTTGCAGAGCTGAATGATTGACGGTTGTTGAGCTGGCTTTGGGCACAGGATGAACCGCGTTTTGAAATCGAATTACTTCAAAATCAAATATACTTCTCGCTGCTCTCTAGGATTTTAACAACCAAGCACTGTAAATCTGTGGCATGCGTGTGTGCGTGTGAGCATTGTGGTAAACAGATACAAGACTTGGGGAAGCTGTTACTCGTGGGTCAGTTTGACCCGAGTTTGTGGTGTATTTAAGTAGTGAATTTGACAACTAAAATAAGTGTAAAACATTACTAGTATTTAACTGTTGTAGGTGATTGTTGTGTGCGTGAGCAGTGGTTTACGTGCTATTTATTTGTTTCTTGTATTGAATTGCTTACATCGATATTAACTATTTAAAAACGTATCTATTTCAGTATAATCCCCCCCCTGGTCAAATGTTCTGGAAGCTTTCCGAGCAACCACGCAGAGTTATCCGCTGTCGGATTAAACATCCACCCCTTCTGATTTGACCACCAAGTAAAATCCTCTCCGGTGTGTTTTCGGATTGTGCCGTGTATTCGTTCGGCACGGTGTCCGATGTTTCGCTCCACGTGCTGTGCAGTACTACCGCGAATACCGAAGCAAAAGTCTGAAATCAGTGTTGTGCAATAAAAACAAACTTCGTTTCCAGATGAACTTGCCTGTTTAATCCAAGGCACTGTGACAACATCGTGCGATCCTGCACACTTTTTTTACCCGAACGAAACGGTAAAAAAAAAATCAAATCGCATTAAATAAACATCGGGGTACGGTGACAGACGAGCACAAGCGCAGGGTGATGCACGCTGGCTCGTGTGTGAGCTGTGCTGCTGCTGCTGCCTCGCGCTCGCCTGCTCAATATGGAATTCTCTACAAAAAAAGTAGAGCATTTACAGTACAGAGTCGAGCACCTATGTAATATCTAAAAAGGTTTAAAACAAACATCCTGTTCACATTTTACACGTCATTTAAACGGCTGTACTGTTGGATGTCTGTCCGCTCGTGCTAAACGTACCACATGTAAACCTTAGAGCACAAAAAACATGGAAAACATCTTTCGTCGAAAACCGCTCGCCATCGCACTATTTACATCCCCGAGCAAGACGCAAGAACACATTCAGGGGGTTCACAAACGGACGACGTGGGACGCCGCCACACGTCACTTGGGCCCACGTTCCGCGTGACACGGCCACCAAGGCACAGCCGGGGACACAGTATTTTGGTGCGCGAAGAAAATTTTAATGGTGTCCCGGCTCACCAAAGCATGGGCCTGATCCACAAACCATCGTTTTGTCCATTTGAGAGTCGCAGCTTGATTATTGAAGAAGATTTTGCCAAAAGCAAAACAATTTAGATTTTTTTTCTTTTATCTCCGTTTTTCTACTCTATTGGAAACTTTTTTTTCTCCTTGGACGACACCGCCGCCGCCACCACGAGTCCTTAGAACCAGCGGCACTGCGGCACTACTCGATTGAGTTGTCCTCCGAATCTGGTGAGGCCGAACGGCTGCCGAACCAGTCTGACTTATTGTCGGGCGTCTCGTCTCCCCGGCTCGTGGGCGTGAGGGGCCCGAAGCAATCTGTGGCGGTGCCCTGCGGCGGCACCGTCGTCGGCACGGAGAAACCGGGGCAGAAGAACGGCATGGGCCCCGGGTACCAGCCCTTCTTGCCGGCGAGCGCCGAGGGGTCCAGCATCGGCAGGTAGGCCGCGGCGACCGAGGCCGCCTCTCCCGACGGCGCCGGGAAGAAGTAGAGCGGCACGCAGAAGGGCGGCACCTGCGGCGCGGCGCCGGCGGATCGCGGCGGCGGCGGTGGCGGCTGCTGCTCGCCCGGCTCCACCTTGATTTTCTTCCTCTGCGGTTCGTCCGTCTCGTCGTTGCCGACGGCGGTGGTGTCGGCGTCAATGGCTTTGGGGCGCCTCGCGCCGCCCTCCCGCCGCTTCGGCTCGGCGCAGTCGTCGTCGCCGTCGAGGTCCTCGGCCGAGCGGTTGCGCTGGATGACGGAGACGCAGTTGCCCACGTCCTCGTCTTTGACGTCGCCGGAAGAGGCGGCCGGGCCGAGCGAGCTCGCCTTGCTCTGGAGGTGCTGCAGCAGGCGGGAGTAGCGGTCGTCGCGCGCGCCGCACCGCTCGTGCTGCTGCAGGTAGCTCAGCGTCTGCTTCATGCACGCGTGGAAGCCCAGCTTGAACGAGTCGCCCTGCTCCACGCCGCTCGCCTGCTTGTTCACGGCAGCCGCTGCTGCGGGAATGAAAGACGAACGTTGATGTTAGCTGCGTGACCAGTGGAGGTGCGGTGGCATATTTTCTTATCGAGGAGCGAGACGTTTCGGTTGCAGCGAGGAAAAATGGTGCGGCTGTTATTGCCACCCCTACCACTGCGCTCAAACGCCCCTCATACTGCAGGGCCGTGCTGAGCTGGCGCGGCCCAGCTCAGGAGGCACCAAATTATTAGATTTTCCGCTACGGAATTTTGGCTGTGCCACTTCCTTCTCACGCGATGAGTGGGTCCCTACACGCGATTGAAATTATTAATACCGCCCCTGGCCAGCTTTGAATGCAGATTTATCATGAGGGCAGAGTTTCACAGACTGGGTTTTTGCTGAACCGAACGTAGAATCGGTGAAAAAAACATCCAAATACCGCGAGGGCCCCACGATAGTTCGGCTCCGTTGTGCAAGTGGAAGCGGGTTATGAGTGCGCCAACGTGGCCTTAATGGCCATCGCTAGCCTGGCGCGAGTTAAGAGCGCCGTGTGGTCTCCTGCCCCAGTACCCACCGGTGGGGCCGGCGCCGTGCTGCAGGGAGTGGATGCGCTGGCGCTGCTGCTCAGCGAGGGCGTGCAGCTCCTGCATGTACTTCAGCGTGAGCTCCAGCACCACCGCCTTCTCCAGGTGGCCCAGGGTCTGCGCACGCGCGGCGGTCACAGACAGAACATTAAAACAGGTCCCTGCAGGGTGGGCTGGTAGGACAAGTCTCTGCGCTGTCTACTGCTGATTTTACACCCAACTGCACGAGATTTCACTTCGTTAAAGTATTGAAAGGGGACGGACGGACGGACACATTAATCTATTGCAGGCTGGTACACTCAGTTTACAACTTCGTTCCTACCAGTAAAACCCTGCGCTTTTATACGACGCTGAGAAATAAGAAACCTAATTTGTTGGTCACAGCTCTCGCTCGAGTTAGTTTTCATCTCACGAGCAACGGTTAGTTTTGACCGAGAGGAATCGAGGACTTGTGGTATTGCTGGCGAGCTGTATACGACTTGGATCCAGGCGGAAAAAAAACACACCATGGCCAACATATTTTTTTACGACGCAAATCGCAATGAGTGGTGTCGACGCCTCGAGTGCACTAAGTGCGGTATTGCACCCAGTGTAAAAGGTGATCACGTGGTGGCGGCACAGCCCAACAGAGAAGCCTTAGGTCCGCTCATCCCGTGCACTATTATTAAACGTCATTTAGCAAAAAAAAAACCCAGAACAAACCACTCGGTCCACGACATGGGACGGTGGCGGGCTGGTCCTTGCGCATATAATCAGATGGGCTGTGTGGCACGGTGGAGCCGATTGACCCACAATCAGCAGGGCACAGGGTCAATTCCTAGCACGGATATTACTCGGCCTAACTTCCCTCCAAGCTCGATAACTAAACGGCGTAGCACTCCAGGGTTTCTTTCGGAATTCATATTTTATTGTGGCCGATTAATCGACTTAATTGACCGAGCGTCCCGGCTGTAGCCTCGCGGCGCAGGCGCTCGCTGGCAGCGTGAGTGTGGAGGAGGCGGAATTGCCCGCTGCCGTCAACGCTTTCTCACCGTCTGCTTCAGGTGGTCGGGAAGGAGTTCCTTGAGCTGGGAGATGCACTCGTTGATGCGGTCGCGACGCTTCTTCTCGATGAGGCGGTGCGGCAGCTTGTAGAGATCCTGAGAGGGGCGCAGACGGGGAGACAACGCACGGCGGGGCGTCGTCAGCATGGCAGTCGCCTCCGTTACCGAGACGTCGCGTAGTAGGGGAGCACAGGTGGTGCATCTGCCAGTCATCTCAACGTCGTCAACCCCGCGGTACCTGGGTCTGTCCCGTGACCTCCTGCCAGCGGGCGTTCGACACTTAACGTGGCCTCAAAGTGCACTTAGCCTGGCACGAGCGTCGTGGTGACGTCACTGGCACTTGGTGGCGAATGGTGTGTGTGTGATTTCAGTGACCCGTGTTCGATTCTCACCCACGGTCAACACCAGTGACGATTATGATTAACCGGTCCTGGGCCTTAACTGAGTTCATGGTACATTGTGTAAACATCACCACTGGGGAGACAAAGGCAGCCGGGCATCATTCTAGCCACCCACCCCCTCGTGTGCCTTGCCGGCCTTCATAGGCGCTCGCTAACAGCACTTGCCCCAACAGTCTCTTAAGGCTATATAGGGGGGGATCTTTGTCGTGTGTGGGTGTACAGGTGTGCTCAGACACACACCTGCATGTCTTCTGATCCTCTTCTCAACCCCCGCCGAGCTCGGCCGACGATGAGGCCTGAGTAATGCAACCTGAAAAGACACAACAACATCATCATCACAGTTTTGATTACAGTTTTCATCATCAGCATTGCTATCACCATATTCAGGTTGCACCACGTGTTGTTCGGCATGTTGTCCGATGTTTCGCTCCGCGTGATAAAGAAGCTCCCAGCGATGAATTTATAAACACTACTGGTGCTGCCAGTTGGAAATATTCCGCCCTCTAGTGCCCGATTAGTGCAGCAAAGAGAGTGACGGTCGCGTGTCGCTTACGGGCTGAGTCGCAGTGGTAAGTCGCCTTGTGACTGCGGGCTGTGGTTATTTATTTAATGAGTCTGTTGACCCAGGAGAGCCTTTTTCAGGAGGATCCTGCCAAGTTTTCACAGTCGCGGGGGGTAGAGGCGGCAATATTTGCGACGTATACCCCCAAACTGAGTCATTGGCGGTGTCATTTTTTTCTTTTCACATTTGGCAACTATGAACAGTGACGCCGGACAGCAGCACCTCTTGCCAACGACACCACTGGGATCTTTAACGTCCACCGCGTGCGGCGTGCCGGCGCTTATTTCAGTTTGTCACGCGGTTAAAATCCCACACCGCCGCAGTATTCACCGGGGCGGCCTGCCGAAGTCGAACCGCGAACCTCCGCAACAAGAACAAGCGGGCGAGTTCCCCTACCGCTGAGCCGCGTGAAAATGAAGTCGGCGGATCGAGGGGGGGAGGGGGGCAAGGGGTGCTTCCCCAGGTAAAGGTGAGCCAAAGTTACCCGCCCTCCCGGTAGGGTGTGGCGTTCCAAGCCGATGGAGAACCCCACGTTGCGTGCGAGGTGCTCCAGGGTGGCGAGACAGTGACTGAGGGCTGAGAGCCAAACGCTCTCCACGCCCGCTCACTCGGTGTGCCTATTAATAAACACGCGCTCGGCGAAGCCAGACGCCTGCCCCAGCGTGGCCTGAGCGACTGCGCCCACAGCCTCTACCACCCACTATTAGCACACTCCTGCCAACAACTCCCTTGTCATCAACCCCACCGCCCACGGTCCAACCACCATCGACGCCTCTCGCCATTGCCACCCTCTCAGCATCACCCTCCTCTCTGCCCCATCAACACCACCACCACCACCACAAAGGGTCTCTCCTCCCCCATTCGCTGCGCAACAGTCCTTCCCACGCTGGCCCGCCCGTCACCTTTCATCTTCCTCCCCTTACCCACACCAGGTTCACCACCACCATCATCCATTACCATCAATCCCTCCACCAGCCTCTGGTTCACCACCATCATCCACTACCATCAATCCCTCCACCAGCCTCTGGTTCACCACCATCATCATCCACTACCATCAATCCCTCCACCAGCCTATGGTTCACCACCACCACCATCATCCATTACCATCAATCCCTCCACCAGCCTCTGGTTCATCATCATCATCCACAACCATCAATCCCTCCACCAGCCTCTTGTTCACCACCAACACCATCATCATCCACAACCATCAATCCCTCCACCAGCCTCTTGTTCACCACCATCACCCACCAACCACCCCCCCCCCCCACTGAACCTCCCCGCTGCCACCCTCCCCCCTCTCCCGCACGCGGCTGCCGTCACGTGCACGCGCGCGCGTGCTCCCGCTGATGACGCTCGCTGACACGCGGCGCGTGCCCCGAGGCGCGTGCTCGCCTCGCGTGACGCCGCGTGGGGGTGGGGGTGCCCCCAGTGCGCACAGACACATACATACATAGAGATACATAGACATACATAGAGATACATAGAGATACATAGACATACATAGACATACATAGAGATACATAGACATACATAGACATGCATAGAGATACATAGACATACATAGAGATACATAAACATACATAGACATACATAGAGATACATAGACATACATAGACATACATAGACATGCATAGAGATACATAGACATACATAGCGATACTTAGACATACATAGACATACATAGACATACATAGAGATACATAAACATACATAGACATACATAGAGATACATAGACATACATAGCGATACATAGACATACATAGACATGCATAGAGATACATAGACATACATAGAGATACATAGACATACATAGACATACACAGAGATACATAAACATACATAGACATACATAGAGATACATAGACATACATAGACATGCAGAGAGATACATAGACATGCATAGACATACATAGAGATACAGGGATACAGAGGCATACATGAGATACTCAGATACTTAGACATACATAGAAATATACTCTGGTTTTTTCGGTAAAGTCACGTAGGGGAAAAAATAATTAATAAAATAAATGAAACCAACTCAATTTTATTTAGTTGTATGAAGCCTTGCAGTCACGAAAGCTTCAAATCTAGAATACATAGACTACATAGAGATACTCAGAGATACATAGACATACATAGAGATACATAGACATACACAGAGATACTCAGAGATACATAGACATACACAGAGATACTCAGAGATACATAGACATACACAGAGATACTCAGAGATACATAGACATACATAGAGATACTCAGAGATACATAGATATACATAGAGATGCGTCCCGACAAGGTAGGGAGCTGAAATTTGGTAGATAGGTAGCTTTTAGGACACATACGATAGGAAAATCAGAAAATCCGAGATTTTTTATGTTAAGGCTCCCCAAATCTCGATTGTAAATGCCCCATGAACATGTTTGTGTGTTTCATTAAGAAACCTTTAAAAATGTAAGATGGCGTTTTTTCGTTTTATGAAGAATTAGACAGCATATAAAATTAAAGCGACAACCATTCTATAAAATATATATTTAGATATTTCGGGTTCAAACGGTTTTGAACGAATACGAATTTTTTTACGTTGAAATCTGAATAATTCGAAAAATGTGAAAGATAGGAGCTTCCCCTCATAGAGTATTAAGTTAATTAATTTTTGTTCTTTCTCATGAAAAAGAACAGAATCTTGAAATTGAGCGGTTTCCGATGGGTTACGTCTTTAACTATGAGCCCTCATGTGCTATGGCCCCAGGGCACTCCTGAAACAGAGCTGCGGAGCCCAGCCGTGGCCTTAGCTGGTAAAACAAAACTACTAGTTTAGTAAACTACTAGTTTAGTAAACTACTAGCAAACTACTAGTAGTTTAGTAAAGTACTAGTTTAGTAAACTACTAGTTTAGTTTAGAGTTCCACGGAATTCGTGTGGACTCCGTGAAGAGGTGGCGGTGGCGGAGGTATGAATCGTGGGGGGCCGCGGGGTGGGGGGTCGCTGCTATTTCTGGACACTGATCGCTTTGCAGCATCACGCGCCACTCGCAACAACAACATCAGCAGCATCATCATCAGCAGCAGCATCATCAGCAGCAGCATCAGCAGTAGCATCATCATCAGCACCATCAGCAGCAGCCGCTATGAATGGAAGCTGCAAGTCCCTGGGTGACGTTCTGCCTGGAGCTGGGACGACTGGCAGGACTCGGCGAAGTGGGCTCATCGATTAAAATCGTAATCGACGACTCGTTCTGGGGGGTTCCATGACTCAATCCACTGCTCGACGAGAAGCTCAAGGAACTGTCCATGACTCCGCGCGGGTCGCTGATGGTAATTTGACCATACTTCACGACGCTGGTCGGCGCTGGTTTGGTGAAAGTGGCGGGGGAGAGAGCAGTGCCGCACCCAGCAGTACTGGGTGCGGCACTGCCCTCTGCCTGAACAACGCCGCCGAGATCTGACGATCGGGCCACGCACTCTGTTCACAGGCCACTAACGTGCACTTGTCACGAAGGAGGACCGTAGCCCAAAACATGATCTGTTATATATATTGTTCTGTTCCTCTTTACGGCCAGGCAGTGTTATCAACGAACGTGGCCGCATCACAAAATTTGTGTCTAATAAGCAGATTCACATGTAAATATGAATTATAAGAATGACAAGAGTAAAGTGTCATGGGCTTGGCCAGGACTCGTCGCGGCTATAAGGGGCGGCGAAGGCCGATGGTCGAGAGTAAGTGGAGTGGTAGCCAAGGGATGGAACGGATGCGAGGGGACGGTCAACCGAGGGAGATGGAGTGGATAAAAGCAGCTGATGCTCTTGGTGCTGTGCGGATTGTTACTTCGCAGGATCGAATCGTAAGAGATGGCAGCGGCGGCTTGGGGAGGCTCTCATCCAGCAGTGGATTGATCATGACTGATGATGACGATGTTAATGACTGGGACCCCAACCAGGTAGTGGTGGTGGTTGCTACACTGCTGCACGTGGCTGCCTGTGACCCAGCCATGTGGAGGAAGCAGCGAGGATTTGTGGATCACCACACTGATATTATATTCTTGGTTCATACTGATGTTGTGAAACTCCCTTCTCGTAGGCGTCGAGGACGAGCTATACTCCTGGCTCGCCAGCAGAAGGCAATACATCAAGTGGACTAATCGCCAAATGTTTCCGTCTGTATGGGGATAGAGTGTTTCCCCCTCGCGCAGGGTGTGGGGTTTCTCTGGTTTCCTCCCACTCGTATAAACAGCTCACAAATTGGCTTGAAAAAATCCCAAGATAAAACCCCAATGAAGCAACAGCAGAATCTTCCTGAAAAAGAGTTCTATCTCACTCAGCGTGGCTTTCCTGGATAAAAAAGGTACATTATCATTATTATTCAATGCCAATGGGTAGGCACTCGTCACGGTGGAATTGAGGACAAGCGCAGCCCGGTCGGACTGCACGTGTCCACGGCGTGACACGCGGCGGCTCCGTCTGGCGGATTTCGAGATAAAACCCCAGGCCACCAATGCTGCCTTAAGCCTCTAAAAGCTTAAAGGGCCCATAACGAGACACCAGACACTCCGAATCTTCACCCACCACGCCAACCCTCGCTCACCCCTCTCATCATCATCCCACTCATCATCATCTCCCTTTCACCTGTCCTCCACGCCAGCAAAACAAAGCCCTCCTCCCCCCTCGCTGTACACTCCGAAGGTCGCTCCTGGTCAGCTGCTGGCCGGGTGAAATCATTCGAATTGCTTAGTTTTCCAGGATAAATAGCAGGGACAGGGTTAACAAAAACAAATGAATTAAAATATGCTTTTAAGGCAAACGGACATTGGATAATTTCAATCAGCGTAGGGGGCATACGAAATATGTCCTGCACCGGGGCCACCACATCCAGTATATATCTTGCTGTGGCGACGTCTACGAGGTTACGCTTACACATCGTGATGTGTAATGATAATTTACAGCCGTTTGGTAATCCAACACCGGATGAATGCCCTCATTGAGACTTCCCGGTGTCAATATTATCGTATTATTAGGAAGAACATTATTTGCATTATTAATGTATTAAATATGTGGTCTGGACGAGATGCGAATTTGATGGTATTTGGCCATTTTCAAGTATTTGACAATTCCTGACCTATAAACATCCCAATGCGGTCACCTTTACCGCCGTAGACACGTGATTATGCTGGCACTCTCAGCACGTGATCATACTGGTACGAAATAAACAAAGGCAAATGTGATCAAAACAATGCGATTCATTTAGTGGACTTTTGAAAAAAACTGCTCTGTAAATGGTGGTAAATAGCCACACACACGGTACTGTGCTTGCATAACTTACCTTGTGCAGCCCATTGCCACAAGCAGAGGGTTAAATGATTAATTTTGAGCCCCCTGTCCGTCAAGCAGCTGCTGCCATGTAAGTCATGAGAGATGGGGTGAGATCGTCGTTTGCAAATGCTGACTAACACCCCCTAACACCCCCCCCCCCAATGGTAAAGTATGGTCTTATAACCCCTAAGACCGATACGGCGTGCGGGTGGGTTGACACAATGCATTATTATTATTTTGAACACAACGTGTGCCACATACATAATATAGCTTTTTTGGGCTGTTAGCTCGCGTAAAAATAAATGTGTCGTTAAACCCGCCACCACCCAACACAGCCAATTAGTAAGGTTTGTCACGTAAAGAGAACGTGGCCAATTCGTCACTAGTACAGCACACCGGTGTGTTGGAGAGCCAAGCCACAACATTGACAATCTGAGTACGACGTTTCGCCAGTAATTACAACCAGCTTCATCAGGCGGCAGCCAGACTTGTGACTGCATATTGCCGACCACTCACTCCCACGAGAGTTGTACGCTTCCTCGCGTGCGTATAAAGCTCATCGATCAAACTCGTTGCCAATTACTGTAACTTTGTTTCGTTATTTCTCCCGAGGCCAACTTGACCTCCTCCGCTGTGAGGATCCCCTCGCATCTCCCGAAGCTGCTTCCCACGACCTCACGGCACTCGTCACAAACGATTGACAGAGGCCTTCATCCAGAAGTGGATTATCAAAGGCACCGTGAACTCACAACACGAAGCACTCCAACGCGACATCAAGTGGCAGAGAGTCTTCTATTACCGTATAAAGAAGGGACATCACCAGAAACGTCTCTTATGATATTTTTTTTATAAGAGAGTTTGTTTACCGTGCTCGTGCACAACTGACAACGCAGCAGCATCATCAAACTTTAGTCTTACCGTATTGCGTGGATTATAAAACGCTCCGGAAAGTAAGACGCACCCCAAATGTGTGACATGTGTCACTTAAAGTAACGCAACTCTGGTGACTCGCGCACACGAACACACAGCTACCGGATCACAAGACGCAGTCTCAACCATCTTAGAGAATACAGAGGGGAGGGAGTGCGTCTCGTAATGGGGACAATACGGCAATAGTATAGACACCATCGTCATCACGGTCTCGTGATAAAAGAAGATGGTCATCAGCTCACCCAGAGAAGTCTCTGTTCTCGAGCTCGTGGTCCTCCTCCATGGCAGAGCACAGGTTGGGCTGAATGTTGAGCAAGCAGCGGTCCATCGCAGGCAGAGAGGAGAGCCGAGCGCGTGACTTGTTGAGTGTGCGAATTGTACACCCACGCGTACAGCGACTGTGTTTCTGCCTGCGTGTGTCAGATGGCGATGGGATGTTGTATGGGTGTTCGCCAGCAACACTTGCCCCGCAACAGCCTGTGCGCACGTGTGTGTGTGTAAGGCTAAGCCGGGGAGCGTGAGTTTATGTGTATGCGTGTGTCGACAGCACTTCTCTCAAGTCTTTTGAGGGCTATAAGGGGGATCTTTGTCTCTGTAGGATGGATGTGTGTGCTCTCTCACCGACTGATCACTGACTGTGCGGACTGTCCGTCTCTGTGTGTCTACACTACACCTCCTTAATATGCGCAGCTATTTAACTCCTCCTTCCTCTCTCTGCCACCTCCCCCTTCTAAGGCACCCAACACAAGCCAGACTCTATCCACTGCTACCTTAGTAGTGTGGTAGTGGCAGATACGCAACGTAGATACGACAGATACTATGTATAGAATCCTATGATGCAGAAGCTGTAGGTCAGGCTATTAGTGTTATGTAAACTACGTGCTATCGCCTGAGCCAATGTATCTTGTTGTTACGCAATACTAAATATAATTAGCTGTTAGTTTCTTACTGATGATCTCTGGAAGCGAAGTAGAAGTCGGGCTTGGATAGTATACACATTGTTACCAATACAAATCAGGTTGAACGTGAGAATAACGTAAATATCAAATACGCGCTATACCCATCAAACCTAGAGACAATTTATGGAATGTTATATATTACACGAATGGCAATAATACAATTTGTGTAACTTATGAACCCGCCGAATTGAACTTAAATCTCAACACACTGTAAGACACTACACTCCTACTTTATATCAGCATCTGATACATCCAGATGTAGAATGTTGGCAGCAGCAGAAGTGGCGGCGGCGGCGGCTATCAGTCGCACTATCAGAGGAGTGTCAGCTCGCAAGGGCAGCAGCAGCAGCACTTATCAGCAGTTCGCAGTGTTACTACCCCACGCTATATGCCGCGTGCCCCACACACGCACTCGAGAGAGAGATGCTCAGAGAGTCGGAGCCAGTGCGTGTGTGCGGTAGGAGGGGAGATGCGGGGGCGAGATAAGGACTCGTCTGCTGGGGACTGATTGGTGCCGAGGACACGAGGCTTGCGGGGTCACGCGACGGCCTCGCACGCACGCACGTGTGCCCGTCACACGTGTGCCCGTGTGATGGCACACGTGTGCCCGTCACACGTGTGTCCGTGTGACGGGCACACGTGTGCGTCACACGTGTGCCCGTGTGATGGGCACACGTGTGCCCGTCACACGTGTGCCCGTGTGCCGGCGGAGTCACGGGGAGAGAGAGGGGGGAGAGACACGCGGAGCAGGGAGAGCCACGGGGACGAGAGAGAGGGTGGGGAGTTGCCTCAGACTGGGGCTGGTGGTGGTGGTGTGTCGAGGCAGTGTGTGTGTGTGGGTAGTGTGTAGATGCAGTGTGTGTGTGTGGGTAGTGTGTAGATGCAGTGTGTGTGTGTGGGTAGTGTGTAGATGCAGTGTGTGTGTGTGGGTAGTGTGTAGATGCAGTGTGTGTGTGGGTAGTGTGTAGATGCAGTGTGTGTGTGGGTAGTGTGTAGATGCAGTGTGTGTGTGTGGGTAGTGTGTAGATGCAGTGTGTGTGTGTGGGTAGTGTGTAGATGCAGTGTGTGAGGTGTGTGTGTGGGGGGTGTGTGTGTGTGGGATGTGTCTGTGTGGGGGTGTGTGTGGGGTGTGTGTGGGATGTGTGTGTGTGGGGTGTGTGTGGGGTGTGTGTGTGTGTGTAGGGTGTGTGTGTGTGGGGTGTGTGTGGTGTGTGTGTAGGGTGTGTGGGGTGTGGGTGTGTGTGTGGGGTGTGTGTGTGTGGGTGTGGGGTGTGTGTGTGTAGGGTGTGTCTGTGTGTGTGGGGTGTGTGTGTGTGGGTGTGTGTGTAGGGTGTGTGTGTGGGGTGTGGGTGTGTGTGGGATATGTGTGTGTGGGTGTGTGTGTGGGGTGTGTGTGTGTAGGGTGTGTGTGTGGGGTGTGTGTGTGTGGTGTGTGGGTGTGTGTGGGGTGTGTGTGTGTGTAGGGTCCGCTATGAACCCGGCGAGCCGGGTTCGATTCCCGCTCACGGCCAACACCAGTGACGATTATCTTAACCGGGCCTCCCCTAGGTCGACTCAGCCTCAAATGAGTACCTGGTGCGGTGTGTAAACATTGCCACTAGGGAGACAAAGGCGGTCGGGCGTGGTGCTGGCCACCCACCCCCTCGTGTACCGTTCCGGCCTTCATAGGTGCTCGCTAAAAGCACTTGCGCCTACAGTCTGTTAAGGCTACACGGGGGATCTTTGTCATCTTTGTGTGTGGGGTGTGTGTAGGGTGTGTGTGTAGGTGTGTGTGTAGGGTGTGTGTGTAGGGTGTGTGTGTAGGGTGTGTGTGGGTGTGTGTGTGGGTGTGTGTGTGGGGGGTGTGTGGGGTGTGTGTGTGGGGCGTGGGTGTGTGTGTGTGTAGGGTGTGGGTGTGTGTGTGTAGGGTGTGTGTGTGTGGGGTGTGTGTGTGGGGTGTCTGGGTGTGTGTGGGGCGTGGGTGTGTGTGGGTGTGTGTAGGGTGTGTGTGGGTGTGTGTGTGTGTGTGGGTGTGTGTGTGGGGTGTGTGTATGAGTGTGTGTGTGGGGTGTGTGTATGAGTGTGTGTGTGGGGTGTGTGTGTGTGGGTGTGTGTGTGTGGGGTGTGTGTATGAGGGTGTGTGTGTGTGTGGGTGTGTGTGTGGGGCGTGGGTGTGTGTGTAGGTGTGTGTAGGGTGTGAGTGTGTGTGTGTAGGGTGGGTGTGTGGGTGTGTGTGTGGGGCGTGGGTGTGTGTGTGTAGGGTGTGTGTGTGTATGGTGTGTGTGTGGGTGTGTGTGGGTGTGTGTGTGGGGTGTGTGTATGAGCGTGTGTGTGTGTGTGAGTGTGTGTGGGTGTGTGTGGATGTGTGTGTGAGGGTGTGTGGGTGTGTGTGTAGGGTGTGTGTATGAGTGTGTGTGGGGGTAGTGCAGCGGTTAGCGCGCTGCGCTACGAACCCAGCGACCCGAGTTTCGATTTCCCGCTCACGGCCAACACCGGTGACGATTATCTGCACCGATCCTGGTTCTCCCCTAGGTCGACTCGGCCTCAACTGTGTCCCTGGTGCGATGTGTAAACATCGCCCACTAAGGAGACAAAGGCGGCCGGGCGTGCTGCTGGCCACCCACCCTCTCGCGTGCCGTGTCGGCCTTCATAGGTGCCACTCGCTAACAGCACTTGCCCCTACAGTCTGTTACAGGCTACACGGGGGATCTTTATTGGATAGTTGGTGGGATTGCCGGAGCCCAGATGAGACTCGGGACCAGGACAGACATCTCTCGATATAACGGAAAATGATATAATATGCGACGTTTCGGGCAATGGCCCTTCAGAATAATCGTAATTGACGAATGTGTTGAGTCTGTTGTTGACTGCTTGTGTGCCACTGCTATCGCAGAAGCAGCAGCAGCAGCATCACCAAACAACTCTGTCAGCCAGCCAAGTTTCACGAAGTCTCAAGAACGCCTTTCAGAGGTGTTCCAGAATTGACGCTATCCCACCACCGACTGACTTATCCCTTAGCCCTGGCCGGGAATTGAACTGCACGCCGTCTCTGGCGTGCCGCGTTCTCTGCTGTCAACGTCCAAGACTCAGAAGTCTCTATCCTCAAGCCCGATGGCACACTCCGACTCTGGCAACACTACGGTGGCGAAAGACGTTCAACTTGCATAGGCACAGAAGGGTCATTGCCGCGAAACGTCGCGTATATCGCCTTCCCCTTGTCAAGCCACACAATGTTGTTATCTGTGCGCTATTGCCAACCAACGCAGCAGCAGCGATCACCAAATCAACAGGAGTCATCGCTGCGATCAATCGGACGTCGAGAAACTCGCGAGCGCTACCAACCCCGCCCCCTCCGTGCGCGCGAGGGGGGAGGGGTGGAGGTTGGGGGGGGATTATCGCCCATTGACGTCACGGTCTCACGCACGAGGCCGCGTGCTGACCCCGGGAGCCCCCCCCCCCCCCCCCCAGCTTCAACGTGCGGCGCGCGCTCGCTCCGAGTCGTCATGTGGCGGTGCCCATGTGTGGGGGGGGGGGCACAACGTGACTCGGGTGGGGGGGGGGCACAACGTGACTCGGGTGGGGGGGTGCACAACGTGACTCGGGTGGGGGGGGGGCACAACGTGACTCGGGTGGGGGGGGGGTGAAACGCTCTCGGATTTCTAAAAGCCCGATTACGGACGCGCGTGATATATTTTCTTAATCGCAATGTTAATTCGAGCTATGGGACGTCGTGGGGGAGTGGTGGTGGTTGTGGTTGGGTTTGTTGGTGGTGGTGGTTGGGTTTGTTGGTGCTGGTGGTGGTTGTGGTTGGGTTTGTTGGTGCTGGTGGTGGTTGTGGTTGGGTTTGTTGGTGGTGGTGGTTGTGGTTGGGTTTGTTGGTGCTGGTTGTGGTTGTTGGGTTTGTTGGTGCTGGTGGTGGTTGTGGTTGGGTTTGTTGGTGCTGGTGGTGGTTGTGGTTGGGTTTGTTGGTGCTGGTGGTGGTTGTGGTTGGGTTTGTTGGTGCTGGTGGTGGTTGTGGTTGGGTTTGTTGGTGCTGGTTGTGGTTGTTGGGTTTGTTGGTGCTGGTGGTGGTTGTGGTTGTTGGGTTTGTTGGTGCTGGTGGTGGTTGTGGTTGGGTGTGTTGGTGCTGGTGGTGGTTGTGGTTGGGTTTGTTGGTGCTGGTGGTGGTTGTGGTTGTTGGGTTTGTTGGTGCTGGTGGTGGTTGTGGTTGGGTTTGTTGGTGCTGGTGGTGGTTGTGGTTGGGTTTGTTGGTGCTGGTGGTGGTTGTGGTTGGGTTTGTTGGTGCTGGTGGTGGTTGTGGTTGGGTTTGTTGGTGCTGGTGGTGGTGGTTGTGGTTGGGTTTGTTGGTGCTGGTGGTGGTTGTGGTTGGGTTTGTTGGTGCTGGTGGTGGTTGTGGTTGTTGGGTTTGTTGGTGCTGGTTGTGGTTGTTGGGTTTGTTGGTGCTGGTGGTGGTTGGGTTTGTTGGTGCTGGTGGTGGTTGTGGTTGGGTTTGTTGGTGCTGGTGGTGGTTGTGGTTGGGTTTGTTGGTGCTGGTGGTGGTTGTGGTTGGGTTTGTTGGTGCTGGTGGTGGTTGTGGTTGGGTTTGTTGGTGCTGGTGGTGGTTGTGGTTGGGTTTGTTGGTGCTGGTGGTTGTGGTTGGGTTTGTTGGTGCTGGTGGTGGTTGTGGTTGGGTTTGTTGGTGCTGGTGGTGGTTGTGGTTGGGTTTGTTGGTGCTGGTGGTTGTGGTTGGGTTTGTTGGTGCTGGTGGTGGTTGTGGTTGGGTTTGTTGGTGCTGGTGGTGGTTGTGGTTGTTGGGTTTGTTGGTGCTGGTTGGGTTTGTTGGTGCTGGTGGTGGTTGTGGTTGGGTTTGTTGGTGCTGGTGGTGGTTGTGGTTGGGTTTGTTGGTGCTGGTGGTGGTTGTGGTTGGGTTTGTTGGTGCTGGTGGTGGTTGTGGTTGGGTTTGTTGGTGCTGGTGGTGGTTGTGGTTGGGTTTGTTGGTGCTGGTGGTGGTTGTGGTTGTTGGGTTTGTTGGTGCTGGTGGTGGTTGGGTTTGTTGGTGCTGGTGGTGGTTGTGGTTGGGTTTGTTGGTGCTGGTGGTGGTTGTGGTTGGGTTTGTTGGTGCTGGTGGTGGTTGTGGTTGGGTTTGTTGGTGCTGGTGGTGGTTGTGGTTGGGTTTGTTGGTGCTGGTGGTGGTTGTGGTTGGGTTTGTTGGTGCTGGTGGTGGTTGTGGTTGGGTTTGTTGGTGCTGGTGGTGGTTGTGGTTGGGTTTGTTGGTGCTGGTGGTGGTTGTGGTTGGGTTTGTTGGTGCTGGTGGTGGTGGTTGTGGTTGGGTTTGTTGGTGCTGGTGGTGGTTGTGGTTGGGTTTGTTGGTGCTGGTGGTGGTTGTGGTTGGGTTTGTTGGTGCTGGTGGTGGTTGTGGTTGGGGTTGTTGGTGCTGGTGGTGGTTGTGGAGAGAGTGGGGAGCGGTCGTGTAGCGCTACGAACCCGGAGACCCGGGTTCGATTCCCGCTCACGGCCAACACCGGTGACGATTATCTGAACCGGTCCCGGGCATCCCCTAGGTCGACTCAGCCTCAAATGAGTACCTGGTG